TTCATAAGACTGAGCACTTGAGAAATTTTAAATGTTTATTCACTTCTGTATATTATATGGAATTCTAAACTTATTAAACTGTAGATCTGAGTTACATTAAGTAAATCTTTTTGTTTTATTAAAACTTTGTCTTTCAAACAAACTTTGTCCTTCACACATGAAAAAAAAAAGGATTTGTGTATTTTTACTGTAATATGCTTATCCTTTCATACACAATATCTTACACTACTTAGAATTGTACTGTGCCATATACTGCAAAGCAAAATACTAATGCAACAAAAGTATAATGGATTGAGCAGAAAGAGATTAAACTATACAGATTAACAACTCAAGATAGAGCAAAAGGGTGTTGGAAATTCAGTCAAAATGAATGAGTGCCCAAACTGGTTAATAGAGAAGATTAAGAAAAATTTTCATCCTAAAAAAATTAAGGATGAGGAGAGAATTCCAAATCTCAGTCTCCCTGAACCCACCAGGAAAGCTTACTCTTCCTTTCACTGATGAGACAGAATTTTATCAGCACACCAAAATCAAGTGTGACTTCTGTAATGGTGCAAATTTTACACTGGTAAATTGATTTTGCTGCATGCACTTTTGTGATGATTAGAAACTAATGGGTAAAAGAAATAGGTTTTAGCAAGCAAAAGAAAATTATGAAAGGATGTTTAAAAATATACAGCAAGTTTTTGCGATGTTATAAATAAATTTGTACTAGTATACACAAAGAACTTACCAAGTGCTTCCATGGAGGATTTATGAAATTTCAAAACACTGGGTAAAGACAAATCCTATTTTTGAGGTAAAAGAGTAAATGGAAAATTATTGTCCTTTCAGCTCTATTTCAATTTGTCACCTTGATGAAACTAATTCTAAGGTTAGAAGCTTAAGAAAACATTTAGAAAATAGTGGTCAGCATCAATTTTCTGTGAATATTTATGTCATAACAATTTAATTTGTCTTTGAGATAAACAACAGTGAGGAAAAATAATGAAGATGCAGAAATCATACATGTAACTTGACCTAGGAAGAATTCTTTTGCTCTGGTGATGAATTTTTCATTATATTCTCTTAATGTAAACATTGATATCTTCAAATACATCCCGTGGCCAAAAGAAAGAATGACTGCATTCTTCATGCCCAACCCCTAGCCTTAGAATGAACCAGGGGAGATGGAATAGACGCTAAGGGAAGGCTTCTGATGACAAAAGGAGTTGAACATTGAAAGAGGTCTGCAGTAGCTGTAGAACATCCACTGCCTGTTTTTAGCATTTTTGTTAGGAAGGAGATATATTGGTAAACTAAACAAGGCCACAGACGGTTAAGATCACAAAGTTATGGTCTTGTGAGATGCACTTTTCTGTGAGTTGCAGACAAACAGAACATCCCAATTTTATTTATCTGTATGAACAAATCTATTGTGTAGGATATTATTGCCCTGTGAAAATAAGAGATAAAAAGATTGTAATACAAGTGCCTTTATTAACTATGTCAGGAATGTCTGTCCATCCATTTAATGCCATGAAAAATGAATTCATAAATCATGTAAAGGAAAATTAAAATGATGGAAATACTCTGAAGAATTTTTAAGGACAGAAAGCACACAAACTACCCTTCTACTGAAGATATTAGTAGAACTAGTATACACATTTTTCAAAGTGAAAAGGTAACAAACAATAATTTCCGTGGTGGCATAAAGTGATTCTTCAGCAATTCTTCAGTCAAACCTCAAATCAATAATAAGTTACTCTATAAGCCTGCTGCAGATCTGGCTACTTTTATTATGGTAAAATAATAAATTAATAATATGCCCAGAAATTTAAAGCTGAGAAAATAAGTACTATCATTAGATATTTATGAACGATCCATTGCTACTTGTTTTTTATTTCTTCTATTACCAAATTACTTCTTCTTTTTCTGTTATCAAATGTGTCCACATTCCACATTTGTGGAATGTAGAAAAGTAGATAAAAACTGCCTCAGAGGAGAAAGGCAACAGGTAATAAGAAAGTGATTCAGAGGCATAGGAGATGAATAACTGAAACCAATTATTTTTTCTGTATCTACACTAAACTATTTCCATAGAGGACAAAAATATGTATTAATGTAGTTATATGTTTTGTTTTTTTTTACCAAATACGCAAATGTACTTGATATTTTACCATATTTTAACAAATATGTGTTTCACAGAGTATTCTTGAATTCAGTTTAGCACATCTACCTGCTGGAGCTTTATCTAACTTTCAATTATGTCAGTGAAAAAGCTGCCTTTGGTATGGGCGAAGATGATAGCTTTACTGAAAGTTGGTTAGATTTATGATTGGCTTTCATAATTTTTAAGAAGTGATGTGACTGTTACATGTCACAGTTATTCCATAACTCATATTACATGGAAATCATATAAAGGCATTCTCTTCAAACTGAAAGGATTTTGTTTTAGATAGTGAGCAAAAATGTCCACCATCATCAGAATGTTCAAGTCCTTCCCTACCATAATTACACTAAATAAACTAAATCTACAGAAACATTTAGTCAATAGAGAAAAAAAAATTACATCTACTTGTTTTCTTGTGTGCATAAGAAATTTTTCCTATAAGCCTTCATGCTTTTACGCAAAAGAAAAGAGATTTATATAAATTGCATATATGCTTAGCCCTGAAAAATGAAATTTTTCTGTGAATAGTCTCTGATTTGATACATGAGATTCCTTATTTCTATCTGAATTTGTTTTGCACCTCTATTGTAAACATAAAAGTTATATTTGCACATTGTCTGTATATCAGCTAAGCAATTCTGCTCTTATTTTGAAACATGGTGTATGTTTCCTGGAGTCTTAAACATGAATTACCTGTCTTGCAAATTTCCTAATTAGTTCAACCAATTTTCTTTCTGTCTCCAGGTAATATGAACCAGTGATCTGAATCTGATGTTGTTAACAAAACAGAGTGCTGAACAAATGTTTTAGGTCACAGTCTGTTTATAGCATTAGAAAGAGTGCCTTATTTGTTCCCTAATTTATATATTTTGATTTATTTATTAATTTATCAGAACAATAAAAAAAAAGGAAAATAAAAACAAAGGATTCTTAGACCTTCATAATGTATTCACATCTGTTTCAAAGTACCCATTGTTGCAGCTGTCAGCTTTCAAGGGATTGTTAATTTTAAATGCAAGATTTCAGCATTAGAAAAAAGACATTTCTAAAGTGTGATTCACAATTCTGTCTGACTTTATACATGCCTGTATAATACCAAGTTTTGAATATCGCAATTTTAGTTCACCAATGGTGATTTCTATTTATTCAAGTCTGAAAAAATTATTATTTTTAAAATATTAGATTAATAGAACCTGAATTTATTAATCCATCCAGTCACATTTTGAAATACAGTGCACAGCTTTGCATCTGTATTGTAACTCATACTCAGTAGTTGAACATTACTGTAATAGAATCACTGACTGTAATGCAGAAGTAACACGTGGAAGTTCTTATTGTGATTAATTTTGTGGTATTGAAAAACTAATGTAAAATAGTTGTTAGGATGAAATTCATTCCCACCTTTAATTTTAGCAGTGAAAAAAAAAAAAAAAAAACACTGATACCTTCAACAATCAAGGTATTCAAACAGACTATTCAAAATTTAGCCCCAGTTGGAACTCCAGACTCTGTCTTAAGTGATGTTTGAAGTAGCAAAATTTTAGAGAAATTCCCTCAGTTGCCTCCGTTCCTTGGAGTCATTCGTTCAGGAGAGGCTAAAAAGACAGGGACATAGCCAGGGCAACTGACATGAAACATTCCTGTGCCATAATAGCCATGCCTGGCAATAAAATGGGAGAGGACATTGAAAAGGGAGGGGTGTTCCAAAGTAGGCATTGCTCAGAGATTGTCTGGGCACAGGTCTGCTTGTGGGAGTTGTGAGTGGTTTTCAGATTTTTTTCCCCAAGTATTAAGCCATCTTTTTGTTGATCCATGAGCCTTTCTCATTTTTTTATTTTCTCTCTGATTCACTCTGTCAACCCTCTAGGGAAGTGAGTGAGCAAATGGACTAGGGTCAAATAGGAAAAAAAACAACTTTGTATCAAAATGTAAACTCCAGGAATCATTGTTGCAATATTCAATTCCACTTTTAAATTTTATATTTAAATAATTTGTAGACATTTGATATTGGTTATTCTCAGTATATTGTGTTGGTTATCTTTTTTATATATTCAAATAACATGATGTTATATGCATTAATCATTATTTCTTATGCATAAATGTGTTCAGTCATTAATCCCACAGATAATTACATATATCTATGAAGAGAAACTATGTCCAGCTGTTACATTCCTGAAGGATTTTTTGTTGTCATAGCATATGTAAGATCTTCTAATATTAACCATGTGAAGATTTAGTTAAGGATTTCAAATTGATTTGCATATTTTATAGTCTGACTCAATTTTTTTTCACTTATTGCAGGGTCCATCTTTGAGCCAATAACCATTTCCATTGTGACAGTATCTGCTATAAAGAAGATAAGCATAACATTATTAGGATTCATTTATAAATGGAAGTATTAGGATTTAAAATTAATCTTCATATATGGGCATATGTTTCTATAACTTCATGGAAGATTATTAGAAGCAACTTAAAGAAGAATCTTTGATGCTGCCATAAGTGTGTTCAGGGGACAGTCTTATTCCATGAAAGTAATTTACAGTGTAGTCAAGAGGTGGCCATGAAGAGTGTATATCAAAGCATTGCATTTTTGCCTCCCTAGGAAATAGGATAGTATCATTGCTGTGAAGCAGATGGCTGCTGCTGACAGAGACAGCATTAGAAATCACAGAAAGATCCAGAAAAAATGCCTTTTTCAAGCGTTGTCTGCAAGGAAATTCTAAAACTATTCATAGTGCACTACGTGTTCTGAGCATGCAACATACAAAATATTTGCACCTTGGCTTCTCATGAAAAATAGGTCTGCACATCTCTCAGCCAATTTCAGTGAAATTATGCAGAGTCTCAATTCCAGTGCAATGCATGAACAAAGACAAAACCTGTAAGTACCCTGTATTTTTATTTTAAAAAATACAGAATTACTTAATGACAAAAAATGTTACAGAAGCTTGTTTGATAGGAAATAATTTTTCTTTCTTTGTGAAGCAGTGGTAGACATAGGGTTGCAGAAAAGAAAGATATCTTCCTGTAATTCCTTCCTTTTCTGGTTCATATGCAGAGAAAAAAGGTGAGGAGGTAAATTCTGAAGCATTTGCATTCCCATATCTCCCTCTTGGCTTTCTCCATGAGAAAAGAAGTAGGATTAGAAGGATATTTATGAAGATAAACAAGCAAACAAAAATTAGTTTTTCTTATTAAAAGGATGTTTAATTACCCCAAAGTGAAACACCTATGACATTTAATCTGATAATAGAAATAAGGGAAAAAAAGCTTAATTAATCAGAGTAATTGAACACAAAATTGAAAGCAGTATCCATTAACTAGGAAAAAAAAATTACAACATAGGAAAGTACTATATGCATTATTAATTATTTTAGCAAATTCTATTAGAAAAACTGAATTAAAAGGTCCTTTAAAGATGTCTTCATAAACTCCTTTTTTCAGTAATCATAAATCAATTATAAAATATTATTATGTAAAACACTTGACATACATTATTTCAACTGTAAAAATTACTTTGTTCAAATCCCTCCTCCCATGATTCCATTGAACTCTTTCTAGAATTTCCTTTTTCATACTGATTCTTGAAAAAAAATTCCATCTTCAGATAATTGTTTTCCAACACTTATACTTTCAAATAGAGAACAGATTGTGCAGAACATTTCATTCTTGCTATAACTGTCACAAAAAAGTCTTCAGGGTGGTTATTTGACATTTTAAAAAGTTATAGCTATCAAAAATTAACTTTTTTGAAATTGAGTATGGAACATACTATGATGTTTGAATATATGCATATGATTGAAACCTTTTATGACACATACTAAACAATAGTATTATTTGAGTATCAAACTAGTCATGCATTATCATCCTATCAGGGAAAACTGGGGACATTTGTTCTAACATAGATGGGTAAAATGTCAAAAATTGAAAATATTTGATCAAAGCTAGACAACAGGTACCATAGCACCAGGACTAGAATCTGTCTGTGAACTTTTCAGATTTCTAACTCTCTGATCCTTACAGCAGATTGTTACATTTTTAACTGCCTTTTTTTATGCCATTGAAATATTTCATCCCACAGTCTTTCTTATTCTGTCAAGCTCCCATGAAGGGCATAAAGAGCAGCACTTTTGCTTTAAAGAAAACAAAAACAACAAAATTTAATACAGTATTCTTAAAAGAAATAACAAAATTCTGAGGAATTTAGAACTACAAATATAGAACTTTCATTTCAAAACATACCAAACATACCACCAGCTGGTATTTTCTTCCAAGCTGAAATGAGAAAGATGAAAGATTGTTGGTAAATCTTGTTCACTCCACAAACCACAGATATTATTTCTTTTAGTTGTGTTCACTTCACAATTTCATCACTTCTTTTTCTTATGAAGATATTAGGATTTTGTAAATAAAATGCTTTATCCTGTGAGCTTAATTCTCAATGTGTCTCTTTGTGTTAGATATTTGTCTGTTTGTAGCTTGGAGTTTCTAGGCCAGGAGATGCAGTTTCCCCAGTGATTAGGTAGCAACTCATCTGTGATTACGTAACACACATTTAGTGCTCCCTAAAGCACAGAGACAGAATAGATTTGATTTCACAAAATACATGTAAAGCTGAAAATTTCATCAGCAACTGCTAGTTCAACCAGTTTGCATTAGCTTGCTGAAAGTGTAAAAGCCTATGTGTAGCAGAGTTAAACAGAATGGAAACAATCATTTCACTAATACTGAACTTCATTCGAGAGAGGATGTGTTTCTCACTCTGTGTGTGTGGCAGTGAGTTTTATTTTCAGCAGCGCATGACACTTGACAAAGGCAGGGAAGTGGCAACAGACAGCACAACATGCTTCCTGCCAGGATCTAGTGGAGAGGCCTCTGGAAAGGTCCAGTGACACATCTATCCATGCCTCCTGATTCATTGGTTGTGATTCTACTCCACAAATCTGGAAAGCCAAGTAGAACTTTTGAAACCTTGTTACAAAAATTATTACCTTTAATTTTTCATTCATATTTCAAGTACAAGTTCTTTGGAAGGACACACTAACACACATGCATATATGAAGATTAATTGTTTATACAGGAATTTATGGGTGAATGTATGGGTAACTGGAAGGACAACACCAATGTACCTGAGGATACATTTGGGACTGCTGACATTAGATCAGAGCTGAGTAGCATATATTAGAAAAGCATAATAGATATTAGAATAGCAGTTTCAGTTAGCATATAAGCACTCTGTTGAAGCAAAGAAATATTGATATCAGAGATGTCAAGGTAACCATTAGATATTAATAACATGCAGTAACTACATTATAAGTTCTGTACCTGTAATATCTATGGATAGATATATATTTGAAATGAATCAGTAGATAATTTTTTTGCAGACTGATCTATTTAGTGTCACTCCAGAAAGGATGTTTCTCAGATTAGTTTGTGGTAACAAAATATTAGTTGTTATCAGGAAGCCACAGCTTGAAGGCTAGCGAAGAAAATCAAGAGCTTGAAACAGAGACACTGACAGTGTGAGTCAAGATCAGGATTTAGGCCTTGAAAATATGATACTGCTCAGGCCAGGGACACAAAAATATGTCACAAATTTTCAGTTACTATTCACTGAAGGCATGAAGCCTTATTAACTGGGAATAACAAAATAGTTTTGAGGAAAGCAAAGAAGCAAAGAATGAATATGCAGTACATGTAAAACATTGCATATATAATAAAACTCAACAGCATGTGAAAATAGGGATCTGCAAATAAAGATGAAGTAAGTAGGTGGTCAGCAAATATATAAACCAAGTTTTAAGTCCACTGAAGAGCAAGAAGGAAGAAATCCTCCATCAATAAAAGAAGTTTACTGCCAAATGAGCCAGGATGTTGACAACTCACCGTACTTGCACTTCTTCCTGCAGGGGACTAGTGCCTTTGAGTTTAGCATGCAGGGCAGGCTTCAGGGGTGAGGCTAACACAAGGGAAGAGTGTTTGATACTAAAATATTTGTCTTTATCAGTTTCAATTCTGTCATTATAAGCTGTTTTAGTAATTAATTGTGACTGAATTAATAATATCTCCTTCACATTAATTAATCTAACAATAAATCCTTAGTTCTCTATATAAGGTGTATTCCTTAACCCACATAAATTACATGCAGTCTTTGCTCTTGTACCCTGCCCTTGAGCTCATTTGTAATTTAGATGCAGCACTGCAATGCCAAAATAGCAGAACATCTGAAAGTACACACAATTTTATTCACATTTTAGCATTTATTCTGAGGATTCTTGCTTTAACTCATTTAGATCAATCCCTTGAAAAATAATTTTCAGTCCCCAAACTGAATTATTCTATAGCATTCTTATTAACTATAAATGTAATTTCCATGCCTGCCACATATTTATTTCCCAATATTGAAGGCTTTTCTAAACACTTGATGTGGCATTCTTTGGTTCACATTATCATGTAGACATTTTTAACATCCTTCATATATGCTGTCAGGCTGGGAAGCTTAGCTGTGGCTTGTGATCATTTCATCCATACAAATAAAGTATTGGTTATACAGCATGTATTTTAACATTATGAATTTCAGAAACTCAGTCAGGGACTAGCTCAGGAGATAAGCAGACTCATTTAAGGCTATTAAACATTTATAGGAAGAAGTAAAGATTCCGTTTAAAAATCACTCATCACAAAATACCTAATACACTATTTTGACAGCAAAATTTTAAATACTGTAAAATTTAGCCAAAAGTAGGAGTTTTAGATATTTATAATATTATTTTTGCAGTCCCAAATGATCCAAATCATTTATGTGTGCAATGTCAATGACTATCTCCTGTTCCAAAAGTACAGGGTACATTTTGGATTCAGGAAGAGCAGTCTATTTGTAAAGATAACTGATGAGGTTGGTCTTATTTGGATTAATCAAAAACAAAATACAAACAAGTAGATAAAGAAATAAAATCACTCTATGAAAGTGAAAGAAAATGAAACCTGGGAGAAGAGAACACCCACTTGGCTAAAACCTCCTTTCAGGGAGTTTCAGAACATGATAAAGTGTCTCCTGAACCTCCTTTTCTCCATGCTGAACAACCCCAGCTCCTTCAGATGCTTCTCACCAGACTTGTGCTCCAGTCCCTTCACTAGCTTAATTTCACTTTTTTGCACACAATATATTTTATTTAGGGATTTTTGCAATAAAAGAGAGAGGTAGATCCGGAGAGCCATTTGCCCTCTACTTGAGATTTGTAATTCTATCTTCTCCAAATCCTTCTACAAATCCTGGTCATTCACTTTGAATAGATGCTTAAAAATGAGCTGTACCTGGGACTAGGCTTCTAGCTAAGGTATCTCTCAGCTGAGTGCCTGAATATCAAGAGTAGCCTGTAATTTCACTAATGTTTAGTAGTCTTCTTATTAACTTGTACAAAATGAAATATGTCCAGAAGAAAATATTTTGAACATCCCTGTAGTTTTGTTTGAGACTCAGTGGATGACAAACATAAGGACAGAATGGTGATCCTTTGTGTCACCTTCCCATTCCAGGCAGGAATTCTGCCAATTCAACCATAGATTTTATATAAACCATGTTAGTTGTTGCCTTTTCTCCACATCCCTATCTTCATAATTTCTAAGCAGGATGAAATGTGAGTGTTTAGCACTCAATGTCAAAGAGGGGCTGAGACAGCTGTTTGTTCAAATCAAAATTACATTATATTTGCAGGGAAATGTGCACATACTAGCTGCACAAACAGATATTCATTTGAGATGAATACAAAGGAAGAAATGAGCAGCACACTGTTTTCTGTAGCATTCTTTTAAAGACTGCACTGCTAGGATGATGGAAGAGAGGACAACAATGAGAAATTCACAGATTACAGGACACAGGCTGTGCACAGTTCTATAGAAAATCAGAGCTATGATTTACAGTTTAAGCACCTAACTCTTTCTTTTGCCTATGTCAGCTGAATGACACACACATAAATGTGCTCTGGTTCATATTTTTTCATATAAATGTGGGGTGGTTTTGATCTATATGGTGCTCTACCATCACTGCTGAATGGCTCAGGCCTCTCCTGGTTTCATTATGTAAGAAAGGCAGATTGAATCTCTAGTATGCAAATTACTGATTGAAAAATTAAACTAATAGTCTGATTTCATTATGCAGACTTGACACAAATGAGATCAATGTCATGGATTAAATTAACAAGTGAATAACTTAAAAGGGATAATAGGTGCTTCCATCAACCCCAAAGCACTTGAGATTAAATCAAGCACCAGGATTTGCATCTGTTTTTCTCCCTGTTCTTAGATAGTCCAATCTGAAGAAACTAACATGTGGGACAGTTTTTTAATGGTAGAGGGTGGACAGACACCCATCAAGGGTCCAGTTTTACAAAGTTAAATTACAGTTGCAGTCCCTGTCTTAGAATTATATACTGGGACTTGCTGTGCTTTCCTGAACAACTTAACAAAGGATATAATTCTCCATTCCTTTGGGACCTACCATCAGATTTGCGTTTGTTCACAGGGGGCTTAATGAAATATACAAAAATGCAGCCATACAGCATTTTATGTGCCACAACCCATTGGGACTGGTGGAGGAATAGGAACTGGGACCACAAACTTGCTCTCCCTAAAGAATGTAACACAGAAAACATCAGGCACTAGAAAAAGCTTCATAAAATTTCACAAAGCTTCAGTGTAAGAGACCCACACATGCTCTATATTTACTACTGGATGGACATCCAGATTCTGTTGGCACACCTGACAAACACATCACTCGATTTTGAGTGAAATGTGGAGAATGAAGTTAGTTGTCTCACTCTTGTTCTAATAATTTTAATTTTTTTCCCAAGTTGAAGAGCTGATTTTCTTTAATGAATGTCTTTGAACAGGTATAGGTTTTCCTACATTAATTTGACTTTAATTCCACAATCCTAATTTAAAATCAAGTGTTCAGTATGTTACGGTTAATATTAAGACTTGTGTATCTATCTAAAAAAGAAACAGCAAATGAATAGAGCATTCCAGAGAGGAAATGCAAGGTCTCTTTTGAAGATGTGGTTTATAAGTCATTTCTGCAGTATCATTCTATCTCTTCAGATATTTTAGCTTTTAGAGAGGTTGTCATACCTTAACAGCAGCTATTTCCTTCTAAAAAAAACCCACGAGGATACCCTTAGAATAATCGCAAAAGCACGACTTAAAAGTTCATGTTTGCGCTCGGTTTCCGCCGTGTTGCAGAAGCGATGCTCGAGCCTCCGCCCGCCCCGAAGAGCGCTGCTGCCACCTCCAGGCAGCGCCGGCCGCGCCCGCGCCCCGAGCGCCGCTGCCCCCGCGGGAGCCGCCAGCGCCGCCGCGGAGCCCGGGCGCAGATTGCGACGGCGAGCAGCACACTTCGTACTTTCAGTGTTAGCGGCTGCCTGGATAATCCTCAAAATGATAAATCACTGTCTGCACGATTAATTTTCTTTCTGTCAGGTCTAGAAAGATGAGAGATTTTGGGGACATCGTACAACGTGTCAAGGAAATGCCAGCTGTCCCCATAACATCTCAGTGCTAACAATGGAGGGAGATTGATGATTCGTACACAGTGCTGTTTTTCATAACTTTAACAAATCTGAATTCCTCAGCAGATAAAGTAATGGAATCTGCCAGTCAGCAGGAAAATACCCAGAGCAGAAACAGATATTTAAATAATCGATATTGTAACACTTGGAGTTGGCTGCAGTAAACCAAAAGACCTTAAATTTTCATACAATAAAAGAGATATTCCCTTTTCTCATTCCTCAGGATGACTGTACTAAAGATAATCACAAAGACAAACTCTTAAAGGAATAAAGGTATGTTTTTCTCTCACGAAGGGAAGTACTTCTTCTTGGCAGGTATTATGATTTGGTAGATATTAAGATTTGATATATATGTGCCACATATTTAAAGCAATGAAAAAGTCTCAAAGAATTGAGCAGCACCCTTCAATTAGATATGCTGACATTAATGACTGACACTTTCATGAATTGCCAGGATACTCCAACACTTCTAAAGGCTTATATGCATTACCATGCAGACTGAGCCCTGATGGTTTAGGATTACTTTCTAAACCTGGCAAGGGTCTTCCATGTCATGAAATAATAACAGCAGTATCTCCCATGCTTCACCTTATAAACTTACCAAGGTGCTGTTTGATAGAGATCTCAAGAGAAATCAATGAGCTCTATCAACAAATATATCTAAAAAGGAGCAGTAGTGTATCAAAAAATAAGAAAGTGTGGTGTCTCAGAAAGAGGCTATGGTTCTCCTTTCTCTGGGGAACCACTCTCAAAGATTACTGTGGTTTTTGGCTTATAGTGGGACTGGAAGTGATCTCACAGTACTCTTCTTGAAACTACCTGGCAAAAGGATCTCATTTTGTTTTGTTTTTTTTTTTAAACGTTATATTTGTTTTTACAGGATTTGCAGACTCCTATGAATAGCTTAGAATTCTCTGGAATTTTATTTGTTTTTACCAAAATTTTCTTACAGAAAGCATGTGCTATTTTTCTAAGTGATATATTTTTTTGTACTTTATTGATTCCACCATATTGTGAAGTTTATACAAAGTGCTCTTTGATGTAATATTTTTGGATTTCAGTAAAGCTTTCCATACTGTCTCTCACAGGATCCTGTTGGACAAAATGTCCAGCCACAGCTGAATAAACACATCATGGGATGGGTGAGCAACTGGCTCATGGGCAGGGCACGAAGGGTTACAGTGAATGGGGTGACATCAGATGGTGACCTGTCATTAGTGGGGGTCTGTAGGGCTCCATCCTTATCTCTGTGCACTTCAACATCTTCAAAAATTACTTGGATGTAGGACTTGAAGGGATACTAAGCAAGTTCACAGCTGATACAAAACTTGGAGGAGCTGTTGACTCTGCCAGAGGCAGGGAGACCCTGCAGAGACACCTTGACAAACTAG